TGGCTATGTAAGCATTTTACTTATGAAAACTCGAAATATGTGCCTGATCAAAAGGAAAAAATAATGTAAAATAGGAGGCTATTTTTTTTTTTCATAAAATCTATTCACCAACAAAACGAAAAACTGATACATAACAGTTGAAGTTTTGCCAAATTATGTGAACACTTGTTGCATGGTTGATGAGATGACCTCAGAGCAGAAAATAAACTGACTGAAAGGAAAAAGTAATGGTCAGAGACAAACATTGTTCGGTGATAAAACAATGAATATTGTATCTATAAATTCTTTTGAGATTTTAATTCTTTATATATTGATAAGCAATGCATGTCAAAAGTGAGTATTCAAACAGAATTTATGTTCTGCATTCAAAACATTTTGGCTTCTTTGAATTCATTTATTTATTTATTTATTTATTTTAAATATTTTTATTTCAATAGTGGCAACGAAAAAGGAACTTGCACATGTTCCGGGTATTTTTACGACGGGGATTCGAAGGAATGTAAAGGTATATAATGAAGCAGATAGTCATTTACAATAAAAACAATTTTAAAAATGTACATTGAGGAAATATTGCTGTTATTTTTTTTTCTATAAGTTTTCATTTTTTCACACCTTTAAGAGTGTCCGGCTGGATACATGGGTCTAAATTGTTCGATAACATGTCGTTACCCTGGGTTTGGGAAACAGTGTCAGGAAGGATGCAAATGTAATGCAGAATATTGCGACTTCCGGAGTGGTTGTTTTAATATGTCTATTGGTAAATTTGTCAGATGATGATAACTCGATTTAATTTAATTCTATTCAATTTTAGTCTGTTCTTGTAAATAATTTTTCATAAACATGTATTTTTATCTTTTTTGTCATATTTTACTTTAATGTATAATGAAATACAGCATTTTAATTATTGATTTATCCGACTTTTTTTATTCAGTTCATTTTCATTTTAGATTGAATACATTAAAAAGATATATTTATTCGATTATTCACTTATTTAACCAGTAAACATAAACATTATGATCATTTAATTTAAATTTTCTTTGCAGAGAATGCAACCAATTTAAAGGTGAAGAAATTGTCATCTTACTCTGGAATAAGTGTCATGGGATCAATATCCATAATAACGATAATAATAATAGCGAAAACATTTGTGTTCTTTCTATTTTTGATTTTAACAAGAATTCTAATTCTCCATCTAAAGAACAAAAATAATCCAAGTCAAACAAATGTTGCAGCTTCTGTCCTTGTGGAAAATGATTGGCACAATATGGATGTCAAATGTCCTTCAGGTTTACCTGCAAAAATTCTAACAAAGGCAGATGGACAACCTTTCATTGAGGACTTGCATACAACTGACAAGCAAATTGGAAATTGCGGAGAGAGAAATTCGGAGAAAAAGACAACCGATGTTCTGGGAAACGATTTTGATAATACAGACACAAGGGATGGAGATAATGTGTATATGTTTACATTTGCATCTTTTGGAAGTGAGATGATTGGGAATTCAGTTCATGCATATTCTACACTTCAGAACAGCTATATTTGCCATTTTATTTCTTGAACAACTTTTATCTACATGTAGCTTACTATTCTTACAAAAGAAAAAGAATTGTATGTTCAAAACATCTCACTGATAGATAAATAGACGAGATTTTTTCACTGCAAAATATGTCATATTTTGATTGGTAATGTATGGTTGTAAATTTATAGATCAAATGGATTGTGAACACATTGTTACAAGTTATTTAAAATACAAGCTTGAGTGGTTCCTAGTTAATTTAGTTGTCAAAAAAGGACACCAATAATATGTGCCTTATATTGAAGTTTACTGTAGAAACACTTTGATAATATCTTCAGGAAACAAAAAATAGTTTCCAAAAACTTGACCCACGTGCCTGTAACAGAAATTTTCTTCCGCTTATTTGTTTGTTATTTTGATTCATGAATCATCTTTGTCAACTTCATGTTCTTCTCCATCCATGCGTTAGTTTTATATAAAATGCTAATGATAAGTCTTTTACTAACTGTTTCTGCAAAAAATTTTGAATATATATGAACCTACAGCATGGGTGGGAAATGGGTTTAGCTTTTATTCCATTCCACATGAACACTTCTTTTAAATAAAGATAAACACTTCCTCTTTGGAACTCAGGCTACGCTGTGAGGGATTTACAAAGGATGCGTGACGCAATTTATGCCCGAAATGTTTTCTGAGTTAAATTATACATATAAGAGAGTAAATTAAAAATAAGATGATTAATATTTTAATTTTTTTTATAGCTATTAAATACAATTACTTCCTTTACAGTTTTAGCTACATGTATATGTTAATACCAATCATAATCCCAAAGTCAAAAATATTGAACTTCGTTGAGACCAAGATAACCTCTGTCTCGAAGAAAATATGATGTTTCTTATCAGTGGCAAAGGCATATGAAATGAATACATTTTTCAAAGTTTAGAAAATAAAAGATAGTTTGCGAAAGAATGAATTAGCAAAAAAAGAACCCTTAATTACGTTTTCTTGTATAAAATATATGTCCTCAGGCTCAAAGATATCACTGACACAATTTTTTTTTTTTTGCTGAGAGCAAAGGAAATGTGTGTTGGGTAGTAAATCGAGGCTGGCTCCTTCAGAGATACAGAACAGCCCTAAAAAAAACTAAGGAAGATATACTTATAACGCTGGCTTGAAATGATGTTTTGCTGCGATAATATGTACTGTTAATTATGAAATAATATTTTTATCTACAAAGGGTATAACATCCCTTTAATGGAAACTTACAGCTTTACCCACGTTGTTAATTTTCTTAACAGTATATCTTAAACCTGAAAAGATATTTATGTGGAACTATGTGATTGCTAATGAAAAATAAAGGTTATATAGCACGCTGTCAATTTGAAGTTTCTAAATCGCTTTACAATTAAAATCTAATAGACCACGATGCGCAGTGATTAGTCTAAGAGCGGAACAAGGAGTTAATCCTTACGTTTGAATTCCATGGGACGTCCTTCTAAAGAGAGTTATAAACCGAGGTTCCTACTCGCAAAAGGTGCTGGCATGAAAAAGATTTCTACCAGTTCATTTGCCCTGAGTGCAAAGTATAAGAAAATACTTGCAGCTCTAATCCGCAAGCTATAGTGGTTGCGTCTCCACAGTTAAAAATTCTCAAGTGGGAACAAGGATCAAACATACAGACAAACAATTTAAAAATATTCTAAACAGATTATGAATGAAATACAGACATTTATATGTGATTAGAATTCATCATAATGGCACTATCTTACTGTAAAACCACGTTTATTTTTAAAGATAGCTCTATAAGGACAGGTGTATTTTAAGTTCCTTTTTAAACAAGGGAGTGAAGCACGTGCTCTAAGTTTAAAAGGCAGAGAGTTCAAGAGCCCCGATTCTAAAATTTATGTAAAGGAATACTTGTAATTCGTATTCAATAGTTACGAGAGGTAATATTACTTTTGGTGTCATCGGCTCTGACATCAATGAGGAAATAATATGTTCTCTTTTTCAATCAAATTTTATTATTTTGAACTTTCATGAGATGGTTTTAGAGTCGGTTATATGATTGAATTCTTATGAATCAGCTGTTGTCTAATTGAACCTCAGCACGCCCTTATTTGGAAGTAAATTTCTAGAACCTTTTTCATAAAAGTCACGTGGTCTAATTTAACTTACCGAACTATATAAAAGTTAAATTGAGTTACATAATCTTTGCAGATGCTTTTTTAAATTAACTCATGAAGTTTAGCGTTCACATCTAAAATGTATCTAACAAAACTTTGTCTTTTTTATTTAACTGTTATGTATAATATTTATACAGTCAGCGGTCGATGCCAACCGTACGTAATGAAAATTTATTTTATTCATATTGTTTACTAGTTTGGAGTTTTAAGAAACACCAATTCTCTATTTTATGAGAAATGCTTCGTTTTTTTTCTCCTTGTCACATCTACAAAAAAAGATTACAGACTTTATTGGTGCTACAAAAATGTTTTTTTTATTTGCAGGAACAAAAAGAAAGATTGCAAAGGTATGCAAAATTCAACAGTATATAAAAGTTGGCAGCTTTTGATAGTTTTCTTTCTTTTCATTTACACATGTCTTTATAAATCTTAATTCTGTTAATTCTGTTATGCTTTATTTTATAAGTACATTGGTTTCTTGTCACAAAACTCTATGCAAAGTTTAATTACTTTATTAAACTAGATCCATCTTGTATTTTAGAATGTCCCTTGGGTTATATAGGTGTGAATTGCTCAATTCCGTGTAGATACCCAGGTTATGGCCCTGCATGCCAAAATGTATGCAACTGTAAGGAGGAATATTGTGACTTTTCAACAGGATGCAAAGAGAGAAGAGGTGGGAAATATAGAGTGTACAGTAGAATTCTGCGTTATTAATACCTATTCAATCATTAAATATTAATATATTTGTGGTCAAAATAAACATTGTAACAGTTTTCGTAAAGTTTCATATTCTCTAGGTCAAATTTTCAGTTTTGTGTCACAGAAACATGGAAAATTCCTTCATCAAATTCTTGTATTTAGTTATTTTATTTTGAAGTCCACCTTCCCATTCAAAAAGGCCTTAATGCAGTTGTGCAAAATCGTATGTATCCAGCCAGAGAGATGACTGATTTGAAACCTGGGGAGGATCTTCAATCAGTTCCAAAACAAGGTACACATCCTGCTAAAAACACGATTCAATCTGAAAAACCAAAGAAATCAAAGACAGAATCATAAACAACGCCCATCCTCATTGGTACTGTGGTTGCTCTTTCTTTGATACTTTTTGCCACCGGTTTAAAGTTTTCTTGGAAAAGGGCCAAGCGATCCTGTCTGAGAAAAAGAAGAGAAGACAACGTCATGCCAAACATAAAAGTCGAGCTAAAAAGAATAACTTGTGATTATGAGGACATGAAAGAAAATTTGTATGAGGATCTGGACGAAAAAGAAACATGTGATAACAAAGACAAAAAGACGGAAGGCACAGCAGAAAATGATTACATTGACTCTCTCAACATCACAAAGATGGGAGGGAACAAAAATGATGACCGAGAATCCAAACATTTTTATGACGCCTTGAAATGACATGAGGAGTAAAAACGTGTGCAGGAACATACATTGGACTAATAAATTCTTTAAATAGTTATATAGCGAAGATTCTAACAAACGCATTGGGAAAGTGTGTGTCGTTAGGGGAAGGGGATGAGGCTTTTGAACATGAAAACAGTACATAAAATATTTCCAATTTATGCCTTCAAGTAAAGCAGTTGACACATTCATCGTCCTGAACTAGAAGGCATCGACAGAGACAATCAACATGCATGCAAGAATCTTTTATTACACTTGTAGTGACTTTAGATTATCAAAAACTATGTTACTTTGATTATTTTAATGGATTTGACGTTTTATCAGGGTTTAGTTAGGTTGATAACTTCCTTCCTGATTAAAATGTCTCTCTTTGTCAAAGTCAATGAACAACCTATGTAACATGTACATTTACAAAAAAATCAGATTTGTTATATCATTTTCGTTATTTCTTAATGAATCATGAAGAATAAAGTTAGGCTTAAAATTTCCCTTGATTTTCAATACAAAAAATACCGAATACTACTTGAGGCAACAGACGAAAGATGATGAAGCAAAGGACAGTCATGAGACATTAATGAAACCAAAATCTAGTGCAACCCTTGCATAAATCACAAAAAAAACTTTGAGTTTAATTCACTTAAAAATAATTCTCATTTTAAAAAAAAAATACTCTTGTACAAATATTTTATGATGGCCTTTATCGTAGTGACCGATATTTCAGAAATTTAGATAAAGGAAGCAAATGAATAAATCGATGCGAATACTCGACAGTGCATGGTGTATGTTTTTTACGAATACAATTTGATTTTTCAAAATCATTTTTACGTATGCTTAAGATCTAGTTAAATCATAGAACCGATATAAAATTAGTCGTCGATTATGTGGTAACCAACTAATAGTATCTATAAACAAAGTTAATATCAATATCACATGATTACATCTTTAGGGATATAAAAGAAGAACTAGTGACACTACTGGACGTGCTGAACATTTCCTGTCGGATTACAAAAAAAAAAAAAAACATGTAGTAAAAATTATTGAGAAACACACTCATCCGCAAAGCGCATGACATAATAATTCAAGTGCTTGTTGATATATGCAAATTCAATACAATTGCGTAAATTGAAGTTTGAAATCTCAAATAAAATTAAAAAAGAAAATAAATGTTTAATAATGCATCTTTTAATTTATTTAAAGATATATAATTCAATATCAGATGGAATATCTTTAGGCAGTCCGTAAGATATCTTCTGAATTACGTTTCAAAATGACTTGTATATCTTTTAATATTGCTGTTGATTTTGCATGCAATATATGCAATATCGACAATAGGAAGATTACAAAATAACGAGACGATACATTAATATCAATATTCTACAGTGTAATTGTACTATGATTTAAAATGAATTATAAATACCATGACTATTGTACTCATCAACTTTAATTATGAAAAGAATGGACTTCCTGTTTGATTAAAGCAATCGAAATATTTGTGGCAGGCACTCCTTTTTCTATAAAAAGAAAACTCAATAGATACACAGGAAATCGATGTTTGATAATTGCTCAACAAAAATGAAGCAGCTGCAGATGTCCCTATTCTTGTACATTGTTTGTGTTACATTGAAAATTGTGTTTTGTTCCATTAAGAACTGCATTGGGTAAGATTTGTTTTCTTCCTCTTGTCTCACAGCGTAAGACATTTTACCCTTGCCTTAACTTTAAAGGTATTCAATATCATCAGCAATAATTCATATATCTTTTTGTAGATATGCTCAGAGTTGAAAATGTAAAGGTTTGAATTTTCTTTTATAATGCTTGAAATATTACCTGGCTTAAACAATTCTTATCAGCTACAGTTTGAAATAAAAGACGTATTTCTCTTTCAATCCTGGCATCATTTTAAAAAGATAGTTGGTAGTTTGTTTCCTATTACATATACAAAATTGTGACTCATTTGATTATACTATCATTTGTGTCAAAAATAACTTTAAAATCTATTTAATAAAATCAATTTTATGGTAGACAATTGAAATTTTTGCCTTTTAGAATGCCTCCCTGGGTTCGTAGGAGAACATTGCTCACACACTTGCAGGTACCCAAGTTATTGCAAGGGATGTCAACATGTCTGCGAATGTGATCAATCTGTCTGTCACGTGGTCTCGGGCTGTTCGAAAGGTAAACGCCACAAACCTTGCAAGAAGATATTTAAAGCAATGCGAGCTGCATCGTTGATGTAAGATTTATTTTTGTTTCAAAATTGTAAATAACTATACCAATGACCGGAAAACGTTGATTAGCTTCTGGTGCTCATATTTGTGATGGAAGAACTATTTATAAGCATTGATTGAATCAAAATTACATAACTGTTCTCCTGTACAATAATGATTTCTTATATAAAACTGTATTTTGAATTGTATATAGAAGTCTTTCTTCTGTATTTTTTAATCAAATTGATCACTAGAGGTTTAACTAACATACAAAATTATTACAAAACACCTTTTAATAGCTGAATAAAATTTTCAAAATGCAGCTCATATTGCTTTAAATATTTTCATTCTGGTATTGATTTATACACTTCTCTTATTAAACAGAGTTTAAAAAACAGTCCACAATTATAAAGTTAAAAAGCAGACGCATTTTTTTTTCCATTTATGAGTTTCAGAATGTCAACCAGGTTATTTTGGTGTAAACTGCGTTTATGAATGCAGATATCCAAGTTATGGTGTCAATTACCAGTTATTTTGTTTATGTGAAGAACAGTTCTGTGACAGGAAAACCGGATGCACACATATTTCAAGTAATAATACGATTACAATTACTTCCTTCACATATGTTCTATTTGTAGAAATGCATAATTGAAACATATTTATCTCAATAAGGCTTATTATCAAGTATGAGAAAAAAAGATTATTTATATATATAAAAAAACACAACCAGACGTTAAAAAGAGAAAAAAAGTAGATTGTTAAAACTTTTTTTACTATTTATATATCTTTTTCAGCATATTACAAAAACACGACTGGAGAAACCACTACAGTGGCTCAAAATATGACAACCGTTAGGCACACATCATTTCAATCTACTTCTTCTCATTTTAACAGAGGCACACAGAGTATTAGAAACTTCACACATTCTACCAGTAATCCGAATCAAAGATTCACCCCAACCACGTCATTTATGAATATAGCAATTTTCAAATCTTACAATTCTTCTTCACAGCCAACTGCCTCCTCGGAAATTTTCAGTAATAAGCGATTCCATAGCAATTTAACTGATCAATTACTTATCAATGATCCGGTTTACCTAATTCTCGCGATAGGATTAATTCTATTTTTAACGGTAGCTGCTATTTATGCAATAAACAAATATCGGAAAAGAAGAGGACTTATTTCAAATGACATTTTAAGGAATCAAAATGTTCCTGTATATTACGAACCAATACAAGCACTTGCATATGATAAAAAATTAATTCAAATCTCTGTCCCTGAGTCAAGCACAATGTCCGAAAACGAAGGTCAACAAACTGAGGCAAATCCGTACGAAACCATTGAAAACGATGAGGAAGATTCATTGAATTCACAATTAGACATGTATCCTCTGCAGAAGGATCAGACATCATCATTTCGTTTGCCTAGATGTGTGCAGCCTAGTAGAGAAATTGATGGAAACACTGACTCTGATGGTTATCAGTGTCCTGGTCATCCTGAAAGACTACGTGAAAGAAGATTACATGATGATATTAACGAATATTTAACAGTAGTTTAAATGGTTTTAACAAAAATATATACAGTGCACTTTTTTGTTCTCTTTTACAACTATATTGTGCATGGTTTATAAATTAAAATAAAACATTTTCATTTTTTATTATACAATTCAAAGTATTTAACAAAGTGAGCAAACCTTCTCTTGGATAGAAATAAATGTATTTCCTCATTGTTTTCCTCCTTTTCCTTTCACACGAAATCGTCTGAAAATATGAAAAATAAATTAACAAAACGGCTTTCCTTAATAAACAAAATAATTTTGTTATCATGTTAAGGAGTAAAGAATATTCTATTCCCATCTCTGAATCTACTGTAGATTTTTGGCAGCCGATAAAAAATAATGTGCTCATTTGATTAAACATTGTATGGAACAAAAAGTATGACTATTTTAGTTTTCTTGTATTATTAGATTGACGACAATAATTAATTATTCTTGTCTTATAATTCCAGATTTTCCATATTTAAAGGGTAAATTTACAATAATAATTTCATAACAGTCATTGTGCGGGTACTTTGTGTTATCCATATGTACCGCATTTAAAGAATAAATAAAAATATACTTTAAGCATAATCTATTTTATTTCCACGATTTATCATTTAATATTTTTTCTTTAAATTAGACAGTGAAATGTGAGAGGTTTTCGGGAATCTTGAAATGAAGCATTTTCATACATTAATGAAAACATTGCTCGTTCTCTACAAAATAAATAAGAGTCTTACAAATTGGCATCGCATGTACTATCAGTTATCGATGAAAAACCCGACGAATAAAGCAGAATTTTAGGTAGATGAATAGTTTCCATGCTTTGTTTCAATTGGAATTTAGACAAAAAAGAATTTAAATTGTAACTTGTAGGTTGCCAAGTAAACAAAAACAGTATGATTATTTAATTTAAATTATCTTTGCAGAGAATGCAACCAATGTAGAGGAGAAGTACAAGTGAAATTGACAGCGTGTCCATTCAGCGCCTGTGTGCTTATCGCGATACACGTGAATAATTAGATACATTGTAACGTTAACGTTTCATTGTTTGACTTTGATAATTTTGTAAAATAATAAATTCATTAATAATTTACACAAACTTTATGCATTTGATATTTTAATCAACCTGTATATAAAAAGCCAAGCACAGGAACGTAGCAATCGGGAGGGGGGGGGGTGTTAAATGTTAAAATAATAATAGTACCACATATAGCGTATAGCTAAAACACTGCGTATAATTTTTATTCCTCGTATGTAAAACAGCCCCGGCATTCCATACGCATTCTCCAACAAAGAAGACCTCTAAAGAATTTTACGCATGGACTTGTGAAGATATTCTTTTCGTCAAAGTAATCATCCTCATGTTTTAACAAAATGTTATCACGATCATCAATTGCAGAGTTTTTAGGAGAAATAATAAATGGATTTATTTTAAATATTCTATACAGTGTGTTGATTGACAATCATGCACTAGACAGGGTTATGAAGTTTCATTTTTCCCTATCATCTTTCTACTTTTCAACATTTTCAAATATTTTCGACACTTGTGTATTTTCGAGCAATACCTATGCTTCGTTGAACGAATACTTCCGAAAGCAGCATTAGCAAACTTCTAATGCAAGAACGCCGCTTAATCAGAGGTAGATTCAGGGCCGGTGCCTCGGGTGTGCGCCCCCCCCCCCGCTTTCAAATTTTTAAGCAAGATTTACTAAACTAAAACACATTATTAAAATCAGGTTTCCTTATTTTGTGTGGGTGTGGGTGTGTGTTTTTGTGAACAAACCTCTTAAGGAAGTAGAATAGATTAATGTAACTCTTAAAGAAACAACTGAATCACACTATCTATATTAAACTGACCAAGTCATGTGAAAAGGCGCACTCATGAAGTATATAAACTTTATTTTGATATCTCTGAAAGTTAAATGGGGTGTATACTTGAAAATGAATATAAAAATGTACATTATAATTTCTTTAACATTTTTCTATCATATTGGAGCCGCCAAAGGAGGTTGCAACCCGTATGTATTCGATCATTTATAACGTATTGATAATTCTAAGTAGTTATTTTCAATAATATTTGCATTTTCAGAATTTTATTGGTATATTTATCCCCCTCTTAAGAAGTAGTTGGGTATACAATGGTGGGGTTATCCATCAATCTGTTCGTCCTTCGGTCCATCTACTCATCCCTTTGTCCCTCTGTCCCTCCGTCTGTGTTCTCAATGCCTATATGGATTTTTCTGTAATAATCGTATGGGAGGCGAAGTATCATTTTGTAGACTCAGTGAGCACTACTGCGACTACTCTAGTTTTTTAAAAGAAAAGAGTCACATATATAAATGCCATAATACTATTTGTTCCAATTTCTATATTTGTGTACATATTGAAATAAATTTTACTTTAGAGACCACGAAAACAATTGCTGTCAAGGATTTTTCTTTGAGGAAATTTCACATGAATGCAAAGGTATGTAGAAGATATAAATTGAGTATAAATATATTAATGCAAAGGAAACGCAATGAAGTTAATTTCTCAAAAAACAATTCAAGTTAAATGTATTAACGACTAAGATGCGGTTATTTGTTTGTATATTTCACCAAGAAAGAATAATTAACCAATTGTTTTGTTGTTTATAACTATAGCCTCTATTGTACATTTAGTTAAATATTCTTATTTCGTGAGTAAAAAAATCTCTTCAATTTTTAAATTCGTAAGATGCATCTGATTGAACAACCTGTGTTTTTAATCTATGCTAGAATGCACTTTTGAGTTTGCACAAAGGAGATAGTAAAAATTCTACTCTCATCATCTACCGATATATATATATCTGACTTTTCACCTTTATTCAAAGAATGTTCTCCGGGGTATATCGGCGTAAACTGTTCCATGGCATGTCGGTATCCTGGATATGGCAAATATTGTCAGGAACAATGTAACTGTTCACAGGAGTTGTGTGACATATCAATAGGATGTCTCGGTAATTTACGATTATATTCATA